TGGCCAGGCTAGCTCCAAGGACTGGACTTATCAGTGCCAGTGATGAAAATGTATAGTTTCTACTTTGGTGCAGTGAAACCAATTACAGGCTAACCGTAAACGCCTTGGTTAAGGACGTTCAGGTGACGGGTAAGTCGAAGGGAATGATTGAAACTCGCCTTTTGACGCATTCAATATTTTTTGATGTGGTCTAAACCTGCAGACAACAAGGCGTTCATTAGTATTACTTGGTGATCTATCTGATACATAATTAGTCTCACACAATTTATCTTAATTATAGATCATAGTGACATGACACAAAGTTCATAACTCTATTAATCTTAGCTACACTTCATTCCGTGTTGTCTTATTGCTCCAGATAAGGCAGAAACGAGTAGGCATAATTAGTCCACAATATTTCAGTACTGAGGGGTATGTCATCACTTTGGCTGTACTTACAAGTGCGGATCAATGCGAACCAGTATGGTGTTCCAAGGGACAATAGTACTGTGTAAACTGTTCCAGCCCAAAAAACTCGGCCAGGATCGGTGTTTACCACAGAGGGCTGGTGGCTGGTCCTCACAGCATAGAAGGCGATCTGCGTCATGGGGGATCACGCCACCCTCTAAACCATACGCTCAGCAGGATCAGGGCCTCTTGTCCGTAAACACCCTCCCCCCCCCCTAATGTTTGTTCGGGTAAGGCAGCAAACGCCAGCACTGACGCCAGCACTGTAGTTGAAGCCAGCGGCGATAACACTAACACCCCCGTCACCCCACTCCACTAGTCGAGGCCTTACAAGGTGTGTGTGTGTGGGTATGCTGAGGCTTTTGAATGAACTGGCGTAATCGAAATCTACTTAAGAGGAGGGCAGGTAGGAGGGGTTGTAGGTGGGGGGAAGGAAAGCCTCTACCTGATGATGGGCGCTACCTTATTGACGTGGGTAGGGGTGAAGTTGTCTGACACATACACACATGCGCTTATACTTGCATACTCACGCACACGAACAGTATAAGCAAGGACGCACTCATTCACATTCAGGGGAGGGGTGGGAGGCTGGCTGACAGAGTTTTCCTGATGACTAAAGGCGGCGGGAGAGTAAGGCCACCTACCACTCATCGCCCGTTTAGGTCGTGACGTCAGGAAGGTAGCGTGACGTCAGCAAGTGTATCATAATGAATGGATGATGTCACGTGGGAGCGGTGTGTCACGGAAGGCGAGAATATAAACTGATTAACCCCTTGAGTACGATGACTTAACCCCCTGAGTACGATGACTTAACCCCCTGAGTACGATGACTTAACCCCTTGAGTACGATGACTTAACTCCTTGAGTACGATGACTTAACCCCCTGAGTACGATGACTTAACTCCTTGAGTACGATGACAACCCATTTAATATGACAACAACGTACTCACGGGACAGTCATCGTACTCAAGGTAGTTCAGAGTACGAGACACATAGAGGTCGTTGTCTTCATTAACAGTCATCTGTGAGCCGACAGGTAGATTTGTTCCCTGACTGACTGACTAAATGACTGACTGACTAATGACTGACTGACTAACGACTGACTGACTAACTGACTGACTAAGTGAATGAATGACTGACTGACTGACTGAATAATAATAATAATAATAATAATAATTAACGGTTTATTGAAAGAGCTTGGCAGCCAGAAGGCTGAAAATATACAGTTACATATTTGGGGAATGGGTTTCGAATTACAAATAATATACAAGTAACATAAGTGACACCAATAAGACATATAATAACTAGATGGGGAAAAGCTCAAACTACAGTTCATTTCAACATAGTGACAGTGCAAAAGGTAAGATTGACTGGGAGTGAATACACTGGTTTATTACAAGTTATTGATAATTTTTACAATGGTTGGGACTGGGCTGTTCTTATAGCGATCAGTTCGTGCACGTATGGGCTGGATGCGGTTGTGGTGTCGAACAGCAATTCTCGGACTAGGGATCTCAGGTGGTAGTAGGAGCCGGTGTCGAGGATGGTGTAGAAGCTTCTTACCAAATTTGCAGATGAGGTCGTGGTGATGGTCAGTGAGAGCCGAGAGGGTCAGTGTGTTGAGCGCTTCTTGATATGTGGAGTAGGAAGGGGAGAGAATAATCTTGCATGCCCTCTTTTGCACTTTTTCTAGGTGTTTACGTTGTGTGGCATTTAGGGAGGAAGACCAGGTGGGGGAGGCATAGGTGAGCTTGGGAAGTATGAATGTTGTGTAAACACTGAGGCGCTCGGGTGCAGGAACTCCGAGGGACTTGAGTCGGCGGAGGAAGTGGAGACGGAGACTGGAGGATTTGACAACTTCACTGACGTGTGGTTTCCAATTTAGTTTGTTGTCTATGGTGACGCCGAGAACACTTCCAACTATCTCAGCCTCAGTGTATATTGATGTCATTAAATCTGCCGTCTTCGCTGTTGATGTCATTAAATCTGCCGTCTTCGCTGTTGACGTCATTAAATCTGCCGTCTTCGCTGTTGATGTCATTAAATCTGCCGTCTTCGCTGTTGATGTCATTAAATCTGCCGCCTTCGCTGTTGACGTCATTAAATCTGCCGTCTTCGCTGTTGACGTCATTAAATCTGCCGTCTTCGCTGTTGATGTCATTAAATCTGCCGTCTTCGCTGTTGACGTCATTAAATCTGCCGTCTTCGCTGTTGTCATTAAATCTGCCGTCTTCGCTGTTGACGTCATTAAATCTGCCGTCTTCGCTGTTGACGTCATTAAATCTGCCGTCTTCGCTGTTGACGTCATTAAATCTACCGTCTTCGCTGTTGACGTCATTAAATCTACCGTCTTCGCTGTTGACGTCATTAAATCTGCCGTCTTCGCTGTTGATGTCATTAAATCTGCCGTCTTCGTGTTAGATTCGGATTTGCTTGTTTGTTGTGCACCTCCTTACATCTTGTGCAACTCACTATGGAGCGTGGTGGGACATGTACACTGCAGGCTTCAATGTAGTATAGTTATATAGTATTATTTATTATATAGTAGAGTTTTATGATAAAAAAAATAGTGATTCATATAAAGATGTTGACCAATAGCATGATATTAATGATATAAACCTCGTATGATATTCTTTGTAAATGATAAACTTAACCTATCCTGGTGGTCAGGTCAGGTCCCCAGAATATTGATATTGAGGTAAACTGTACGCTAAAGTAGCAACCAACCTGTGTATCGAACCTGACGTGGGCACCTTTGTGAATGACGTGTGCACCTTTGTGAATGACTTGTGCACCTTTTTAATGACGTGTGCACCTTTGTAAATGACGTGATTGATTGATTTACAAATTTATTGAGAAAGCTTGTAGTACAGTTTGCCTATTGTGAGGAATTCAGTCAGGTCTTGACACTGAGGGTGGTATCACTTCTCACTGCCACGCAGGACAGAGGTTCACACACAAAGAATTACATCATATTCATTAACAGTATATATAGGTCAGAGTCATGTGGGTGATGCCACTGTTCACTGCCACGCAGGACAGAGGTTCATACACAAAGAATTACATCATATTCATTAACAGTATATATAGGTCAGAGTCATGTGGGTGATGCCACTGTTCACTGCCACGCAGGACAGAGGTTCATACACAAAGGATTACATCATATTCATTAACAGTATATATAAGTCAGAGTCATGTGGGTGATGTCACTGCCACGCAGGACAGAGGTTCATACACAAAGAAATACATCATATTCATTAACAGTATATATAGGTCAGAGTCATGTGGGTAATGTCACTGTTCACTACCATGCAGGACAGAGGTTCACACACAAAGAAATAAATCATATTCATTAACAGTATATATAGGTCAGAGTCATGTGGGTGATGCCACTGTTCACTGCCACGCAGGACAGAGGTTCATACACAAAGAAATACATCATATTCATTAACAGTATATATAGGTCAGAGTCATGTGGGTGATGTCACTGTTCACTACCATGCAGGACAGTGGTTCATAAACAGTAGAAGTCATATTCTATTTGAGGACTAATCAGTGTGGGGTAGCAAATTTTGGCGTGTGCACTTTGTAAATGACGTATGCACCTTTGTACCTGATGCGTGCACCTTTGTAAATGACTCGACAGCTCTAATTTTGAGTGAAGAAATAAAAATCTCTGAGTATCCTGCTGTTGGGTGTGTGAAGGTGAGACGATGGTGGTATAGGAGAGTGAGTCTTGGAGATGAGACAAAATGAATGTTTGGTGGTAGAGAGAGAGAGAGATGGAAGGAGGGTGGAGTCCCTTGGGAATGTTTGGGGGGTTCATCTAGCCGGGGTCTTGTTACACCTGGTCACTACCACCACCCAGGGTGCTCCACTTACCCTCCCGCTCCTTCACGCGTTACTCTCCTCTTCCTCCCTCTCCTTCACGCGTAATCCCCACTCAACTTCATGAATCAGAACCCCAAAATACGATGATTCCATTAATGATCAGTTTAAGTTAAGTTTATCGTCTCTAGGTTAATGCTTATTGGTGCGTTGTGATGATGACGTCACGCGGGAGGGAGCCTATGGAAATGATTGATATAACTGTTTCTGTAATGACGTTTGTGAGCCTCAATAATGTCCTGCCCACCACCTTGTTTTGTGGTGGGCAGGAAGGAGATGTTGTTTTTGGTGTCGTGGGAGAGGTGTGTGGTGGTGATGGAAAGATATGTGTGGTGTTGTGGTGGTGAGAGAGAGGTGTGTGGTGTTGTGGTGTGGGAGGTGGGGCCAGCTGTCCCTTCTGGTGGGCTCGGGGCGGCGTGGCTGGCGTCCACATGGCAGTCCCACCCGGCTTCTGCCTCACTCCCTACGACCAATCACAGCCCAGCCCTCCAGGTGACTGCCAATGAGCGCACGGGGCGGTGGCGTGGGTCAGGCCGGGTCATGACCTCCCCCGGGTGATCCTGAAGGGTGCGTGGGGTCGGGGTCTGCTGTGGCCGTCCCCATCTCGCCCCCGGCCCGGCCCGCCAGTCTACCGTGGAAAGCGGACGAGGTGGTGGTGGCCCGCTATCCTAGCTGTCCTGTTCCTGGCTGCCCAACACACACTCTGGTCTGCCAGTGAAAGTCCTCCCTGCCACCCTCCCTTCCGCCACCATGACCTTGTGTCACATAGTGTCGTGTCAGACTTATATCACTGTTTACCTGAGCGCTGTCAGGTGTGATAATTGTGTGGTTAATTAGCCAATAACACGTGAGAGTAGTTTACTAGTGTTGCCATGGGATCATCTTGCCTCATCAAGACGTGCACCGTCAAGAAGGCCAAAGTCGGGGCGTCGTTCCATCGCCTGCCCTGGAAATATCCAAGCCTTTTCCACACCTTACAGCAGGTTTTTGGAAACAGCAACGTTCGCGAACTTACTCGCTGGTCTAGGATCTGTTCACATCACATCGCCCAGCTGGCGCCCCTGGCCACTACTGACGAGGTGGTGAGACGCCTTATGGAGTATTATGCTTGGAATGCCCGCAGCTACAAGAGAATATTCGAATTATCCAAACTTGAGAGGGTGAGCGAGCCTCAGAAGACCCATGAAGGTGACATGACCTTGACTCTGGAGGACCTAGTCAAGAGCGGAGTGTTTGTGGTAGGAAACAGTGAGAGTGACAGCAAAAGTGTGAGGGGCGAGGCAGCGTGTGGGGACTGGCAGAGTGTGGCCAGCAACAAGAGTGATTCGTCCTTTCCCTCAGAGGAGGATGAGGAGGAGGCCTCAGTGCGGAGTCTGGCATCCAGCGGGGCGCAAGAGTCAGGTCACTACGTGGGCCAGTATCTACTGCAGATATTGACGGGGGTTCTCGCTAACCATCCTTCCTCAGGTACGTGGACTTGTGGCTCACCAATGATGAGAACAATCAAATGTTGTCTGGAATATCGCATGTTACTCAATTAGCACGTGTATTAATTACTACCTATTGTGGACCTACAGTTGTATTTTACGGGAATCTTGGTGCTGAATAAATCGTCTGGTGTTACCCAAAAGTGTGGTCCAGTAGTGAAGGTGTGTGTGGCCACTACCTTTGTTTACCTCCCGGACCTGTGAGTGAAGTACAACTTGTTAGAGTATGACATTTTATTTCAGTAGGTCGGTTGATTAGTGACGGCCGAATATTTAGTAGACCGTGGACTCGTACAATTAACGGGCGCAGCTTTTAAGAAAATAAATACATTGTTAAATTTGGAATAAGTTTTCTCCGAAGTACTATATACTCTTGGATGAGTACTGAATGTCTTATCTGTTCGTGGAAGGTGTGTGCGTGTGTCCGGGGTTAATGATAAGATATCCTGGGCGCCGCCTGTGAAGCTCCGTGGCCAGTTTTCCCAGAAGGCGTGGGCAGTTCCCGGTGTGGCAACCCTCTCCTAGTGATCCCCACCCTGCCTCAGGTCTCACACTCCCTCCCCCAGGCCTTGTACACCCTCCCCTCCCTGGACCGGCGTGCCACCCACCTGCCTTGACTCTACCACCCCGGCCCAGTCTTGAGCTCACTCCCGAAAATAACACACGGCACAGTCCGCATTGTTCCCTCTCTAACTTGTCAGTGACTGCAGATACTTACACCATGTCATGTTAACGTGATAAATCGAACGGCAGATAATTCCAGGTAGTGTTACGTTTAGCGGAGAATCTGTGCCGTCAACCTTCCGCTGTCTCGTGTGGGTCGGGCGTCCTGGTTACTGAGTGGTCTGCCCTCCCTGCCTGCCGGAAGTGACGTCATATCAAGGGTTTACTGTTGCGTCTTTAGTTGGTGTGGCTGTATAACTTGACGGGGGGCGCGTGGTTTCTTTTTTGTTCATCAACTTTCATCACTACTCATACAATCTTAAATAATACTGAAAGGATGACGCCTATAATGTACAGTCAGGGACAAAAGTTCGCTCCCCGTCATGAAACTGAGTCATAGGAATGAGTGCGGGTGTCATTTGGTGTGTTGTTTGGGGTCGAATGCTGCTTCCATAAGTCTATACCGCCCTGTGTGTCAACAAGTATGGCCTTGTGTTCGTCCCGCGTGACATCTTGGTGAGCTTTACACGTTCACTCGTGTTGGTGGTGCGTGACATCACCAAAAACCGTACGATAATCACCTGTTTATCCTATACTTTATTGTTTCTTAATTGTACTGTGGTGTTCATCGTGGTATTGTGGGGCTGAGTTGGTGACATAAACGTTGGTTATCTACAGTATAATGAACAGGGTAATTGATGTTACTATAAAATGAATGTCCACTGTTCGTCTATCAACAGTATATGGGAACCGAAGTGGAGATATATACGGCTGCTGTGTCCAGTACACATTTTTCCTGTGTACTATGTAGTTTTACGCTATTTTTCATTTTATGTCTAAAATAACTCATATTTGACCCAGATATAGGTAAACGTTGCTGAGCCAACGACGGGGTAAATACTCGGAAATGCCATTATAGAAAAGTTCCAGCTATTATTAGGGTATTCTGGGAGGGGAGCCACCGTGAACACCACACTGCTGAGTAATGTTAGGCGGGCCACGTTTAGCCCAGCCTTCCACCCACCCTGAGTCAAAGCCCCAGGCTAGGTTGACCTTGAACTATTATCCGGGACTCGGGAGTGGTAGTTCCCTGAGTTTCCGTCGTGTTAGTCGGTGTGACGGACGCGTGGGTGGCCGTGCTGCCAGAGGGATATTCCATCGTTTATTATCTGATTTGGGCACCAGTTTTTGTGAGCTTTGAGTGACTGTACCAAAAAAGGCTCTCGACTTTGTACTTGTAAGTCTCGAAACGTCCTTCATTTTTGCCCAGATGTTAGATATTACCCGCCCAGCCTTGAGTGTATGTGTATATATATATATTGCAACTGTTATCCATTATTGACTTTTAACCAACCATTATTATAATAATCTTAAGTAATTTACATATACTGTATACCATTTATTGATGTTGTAACAGTAAGTTGTGTTCTTCCCCAGGCGACCACAGTATGATCCCGGATGACTGTGCGGCCGGAGCCATGGACTCACCCATGGACGAGGCTGGCAAGTCGAAGAAAACGGGAGGCGGGGAGGAGGAGGAGCAAGACATTAATGATAACCATACTAAACTGGCTGCTCAGGGAAACTCTAGTGGCGAGACTACTGATGTGTTGACAAATGGGGAGGTACAAACTAAGGAAAGTGATAGTAAAGAATCTATTGATGAGTCGAGTAGAACAGATGATTGTGAGGAGGAAAAGGACAATAAAATGGAGGTGGAAGAACCAGAGGAACCTCAACCTCAAGTAGATATTGAGGGAAGTGAAGATGAGAAAGACTCTAGTGAAGATGACGAGGATAAGTTAGTGATAAGTGAGGGTAATGAACGGGGTACGGAGGAGTCGGCTGATGAGAACTCTAAAGGAGGTAAGGTTTACGGTGTTATATAACTTCAAGGGTGAAGGTCGTGGTCAATATTTGATTCCCTCCTTTATTTTTAAGTTTCATTACTATGTTTCTTTAACTCAAGAATGTATAGTCATGTCTGAGAACAGCATTGCCACCAGTTGTTCGAGAATGTGTTTTTTCCGATGGTCTAGACAATTTTTTTCTATGACTTTTCCGTCGCAAATGACCTAAAATTACTAGGGGGAGGGGGGCACTACACCATCTCGGGAACTTTATAGTAGCAGTCAGTAGTTTTGACAATTCTGAGCGGAACATTGAACGACTGTGGAGCTCCCCAGTTAGGTTAGGTTAGGTCAGGTTGGTTAGGGTTATGGTTTCGATGTGTTTTGAACACTTATTTTACCTTGATTTTTGAAGAAAATTTCTAGATTCCGAGATGGGAGGAGGGAGTGCTTCTCTCAGAAAGTATTGATATGCGCCAGAATGAAGGTTAAATTCGTTCATAACACATCAAACACCATCAGAAAAACAGTTTCAACTTCGATTTCGTATAGTGGCAACCAAGGTCATTGTTGAGAGGTCGGGCACGCGGGAGTGAGGGTGTCAGCTGATCCACCCTACCTGGTCTCCTTGTCAAGTTGACCCCAGTCTGACCCGGGCCATTTGTGTGTTCACACTACTGTCTGAGGCAATCAATATAATATTTTGTGACGTAGTACATTTTCATTGAACTGGCCTCAATGCTGCAGATATGCCGAGAAATTGTTCAGTATATGGATGCAATAACACAAGAAGAAAAACAGCAGGATCAAGCATTAAATATTTCCGCTTTCCAAAGGAAAAACAATTTAGACAGCGGTGGATTTATTCCTGTTGCCGAGCTGATGACATTAAAGCAGACAGTGCATTGATGTGTTCAGTACATTTTAAGGAATGTGACTACAAAGATAACCTGAAATATCGTTGCCTTGGAATTGAAACGCCAAAGAGACAACGGACATTAAGGGATGATGCAGTTCCATCCCTCTTTTTGCCTCAAGGTAGGTTAGTTACACCTTTTCCATTATGGATATTGGTCCAGTACATTAACCTTGATGACAAGTGAAATTTTACCGGGTTAGTAGGTTAGGTTAGGTGATGGTCATTTACGACGGAAACGTCGAAGAAAGAACATTATCTAAACCTTTGGAAAAACACATTGCTCAACTCGAGAGCCATATTGTCCGAAACTGCAGTTTTACCCAATATTGTGTTTACCATTAGTTAGATCTCGTCAATAGGAACAACTTAAGTCTCTGAATGTTCACACCTCTCATGGGTGTGATAATGAAGATGCTTAAGTGAGTCACAGATTGTTGTGTATTGTAACAAAGCCTAAGAGAGATTATAATAATAATAATAAAGAACCATAAATAAATACAAAAATTAAAAAAATCAAGAGTGAGAAACAATATTTGTTCAGTGGTCCCTCGGTTAACGAGCACAATTCGTTCCAGAAGGTTGCTCGTTAACCTAAACCATTGTTTCAATGGGTTTTTGGGTAATTGGTTCCAGCTCACCGAAAATTACGTACAAACGAAAAATAAATGCAGTAAAGTACACTTACTTTGAGGTGTGCATGTAGAAGGCTCCTGGTTGATAATGATGATGATGGGAATTAGAATGGGGGTGGAGGAGAAGGGAGAAGAGAAAGCATTGGGGTGGAAGAGAAGTCACCCCATGCCGCCATTTCACCCATAAAATTTTAGTTCACTTGGTGTAATTCAAGATTATTTTCTTTAAATCAACATTGCACTGTGCTATATATTATCAATATGTAAAATATATTTCAAAATGACCAATAATTTGACTGGAAACACAAAAAAAGCATTTATGTTGAAGAGTCTCAAACAAGATGTTCCTTCCTCTGAACTGGTAAACAAACTGACGCCAAGCTTGGTGTGTTGAGTGGCTGTTTGGTGCACAAAAAACTAGTTTCCTGTACTTCAATTATGTTCAATAATTGTTAAAATGACTAAAAAAATTAATAAAAACCTTCTAAAATGATTGAACAGTACAACCTTCTTGATATTTACTAAAAGGGTAAGGAATTTAAGCCCTAGAACCGATTACTGTATTGGTGGACTAATACGACAGCGAGTGAGCAAGCGAAAACATGTTGAGGGGCGCTCGTAAGGAATTTGTTAATCGAGGGATTGCTCGTTAACCGAAGTGAAGAATCTTATGGAAGGTAATTCATTAACTGAGGCGCTCGTTAACCGAGGGATCACTGTTTGTTGTGTTGTCAAAGTAAAAGAAAATTTAAACCCTGGAATTGGTCACTTGGTCACAATTTTCGTGATGCCATATGGCAGCAGGGTCTACTGGTAGATAACATTATGTTTCCAATATCTTCCCAGGCGGTAGTACCTCCCTGTTCGATAGCTACCTACTACCTTAACGTCATCCCATTTCGGTACTGCGTCACTAAATTTTAGAGGCCGGGACGGTGGTTCATTACTACGTCGTTTTGCACCATCACAGACTACTTTCTACGGCGAATCAGCCGCTCTTGTCTGGCCCCGCTATGCTGTCTCGGCTCGGCGTGCTACCCTCGCTCGCCGAACTTCACAGCGTCCCCAAGCGACGCCGAGCCAGTCTTTGTTACGACTTCACATTATTTGTATGTGCTCAAGTGCTTTTGCTCTAAAACTGTACTCTAACCATTCGAAATGGCTTCCAAGCACTCGTCAAGTGCTACTGATGCTAGTGTAGTGAAGAGGCAATGTAAGGCCATTACCCTGGTACAAAAATGGATGTATTAACCCGTTTTGAAAAAGGGGAACGTGCTGTGGACATAGCCGCTGTGCTTGGTCTAACCAACCCCCACAATGGTGCGTACTATCCGGACCAACGCTGACAAGGTTAAGGTTAGTGCTGGAAGTGGTTCTTCTCTGAGTGCTACTAAGACAACTCATACTCGAAGCATTGTGATAGAAAAGGTGGAGAAGATGTGGATGGAGGACCAGAATCAACGCAATGCTCCTGTGAGCCTTATGGTTATCCAGCAAAAGGCCAGATCCTTGTTTGACAACTTAAAGGCAGAAAAGGGTGAAGGATCGAAGGAAGAGGCCTTTACGGCCAGCCGAGGATGGTTTCAATGATTTAAGTATCGTTATAACTTCCACAATATTAAGATGACTGGTGAAGCTGCCAGTTCAGATACAGTTGCTGCCGAGACATTCCCGCCATAATTCAAACAGATTATCCAGGAAGGAGGCTCTTCACCGAAGCAAGTCTTCATTGTGGATGAGACCGGTCTCTTTTGGAAGAGGATGCCTGAGAGGACCTATATCTCCACGGAAGAGAAAAGAGCGTCAAGTCTTAAAGCGGCAAAAGACTGCTTGACGCTGCTGCTTGGCTCGAACGATGCCGGCGACTTCAAGCTGAAGCCTATGCTGATTTCTCGTGCCTTGAAAGGTTACTCTAAGAATCACCTTCCAATGATCTACAAGGCAAACAAGAAGGCATGGATAATCGGCACCATATCTAGCCGGTGGTTAACAGTGTACGCCGTCCCTGCACTGAAGGAATACTGTGCCAAGGAGAAACATGACTTCAAAATTCTTCTGATCCTAGACAATGCTCCAGCTCATCCTCCCAATCTCAACGACTTGCATGACAGTGTAAAAGTTGTATTCCTGCCTCCCAACACGACAGCACTGATGCAGCCTATGGACCAAGGCGCCATCGCCGCATTCAAGGCGTATTATTTATGCCGTACCATGGCCCAGCTGCTCAAGGCTACAGACAGAGATAATAAACACACAATCCGAGAATATTGGCGTGGCTTCAACATTCTTCATGCAATTGACAACATTGGCAAGGCATGGGAAGATGTTTCAGAAAGCTGCCTGAATGGTGTGTGGGGTAAACTGTGGCCCAAGTGAGTCAACAGTTTAACAGGATTCACGTACTGTACTTAGTCCCAGCAGTGAATAGTGATATCCTCAGTTTGGCTAGAGAGGCAGGCATTAAACATCATTGAGAACAAGATGATCATGTTCAAGTTCAGTGCTGCATTAATTGTGCTGAAATAATGAGATCTGAATGATGTTAAGTATTGTGGAAAAAAAAAGTTGGAACTACATTTTGATGTATACAGTACTGTAGTAACATTTAATAAGAATGGCAGAAGATTAAAAATACCTAAATACAGTAAAGTATCAGAAAATTTGAATGATCCAGTGAGTGTCTGCAAGATGAAGGTAAAGTACAGTGCAGGTAATTATGGACTGTGTCAGATGTCTGTATAAAGGTTTGAGAGAGTCGTCACATCACCCGGAGACCTCTCATCCCCAGAAGGGCTCTGCACCAATTGTTCCAACCAACAGGGGTGTCACTACACGAGCCCCATCTCCACGGGCTGAAATAAAGCTTTTATAAATATTCTCTCTAATTCACAATTGTGTCTGAAGTTATAGTTGATGCTACAATATTTCATTACAGTATAACCTCAGAAGATTCTCTCAGTATTACAGTAGTATATTACTGTACTGTACTGTACATGTGAAGGTGCAAGAGTTTCAGAGAGAATGGGAGGACAGTAGTTGTCCAGTAGCCAGCCACTCATGGGGAGGGGTGGGTTGGAAAAGTCGATAAGTTGGATAATCGAGGTACTGTAACTGTCTATGTCCACCACACTCTTATTTTTTACATAGGTATCATGGCCACTATTTATTTCTGATGAGAGTCTCTTGAGGTAAAGATGTAAGATTTATTTTTTTAGCACTGTACCTGTACTGTACAACCTTGGCCTCAATTTAAAAGTACAGTACATACAGTACTTGTTCCACCCTACAATGGTGTATGGATACAGGGTTGTATTTTGTGAACGCCACACATCCGTTATACCCGGACAGCATATTTGATCATTGTGTAAAGAAAACGCACAGTATTTAGACTGATGAAATACAGTTAATTTAAATAAAACGTTGTTAATATGTTCTTTACACCTGTTCTTAACGATGTTTAATAACAAGTACATTACCATATGTTAAAAACAATAACTCTCTTACCACTGTACAGTATTTGAATTGCAAACATGGTAGATATGATCAGGTATCAACTGCTTGATAATGCAACACAAGATATTACCACTAATTATCTTGGGTACAGTACATGTATTAGAAAGTGTCTATAGTAATTAAAGAGGAAAATAATAAATCTTTAATTAAAGATTCTTGATAAATTCAGATCATTCAGACACTTGTCTAAAAAACGCGACTTATATGTACTATGTAAACCTCATTAACTAAAGGAAAGAAAGTTTTAAAGGTTTATTGTCATTAAGTTGGTTTAGTTTAAGTTATTCTTAAAGAATGGAACACCTGATGTAGTCTTATGTGTAGCTACATACAGTACACTGGTGCCCCGAGGATACATCTTGTTGGCTCTGGCTGCCGAGTCATATTTCAGTACTTTATACTGTACGGTGTATGACTAAACACTGTACATTACAATATAGGAAACTCAGGTCATCGGTCATTCCTTTAGTGCTCCTGATGCAGATCTTCAATATTTTTTATGTGTAATTTAAATTCTGTCAACCTCTCCTTAACCAGAGCACATGGAATTATAGGTTTTAGCTTGTGTGTAGCATCTGTAAGAACATTCTCCATGTACGGTATACAGTATTCTGGAACAAGGAACAAAGTCCTCAAGGCATGGCTTGAGTAGATTCATTGCATGCATCTTCTTTTTACTGAAATTTATTGTATAATCTCGTTGGGGTATTCAGTACAGTACTCTACTCTCTTGACACTAGTTCACCTCCATCCCTTTCCAGTAAACATATCAAGCCCTCTGATAAAGTCAGGCCAGACCAAAGGTTGATTTACTGGTGAGGGAGAATGATGCAAGGCAAATGACAGGAAAAGACTTAAGATAACACGAAGTAATAATGTATCCATATACTGTACAGTGCATTGTTTATAATCTCATCTTACATTACTATTCTTGTTTTCTTATTTATTTTATTTTGTAGAAGCTGCAGCTGCATCACAGAAGAGTACAAGTAGATCACCAACTCCAAAGAGAAGTGAAAAGCGACCAGCAGAAGATGAGGCAGCTCCTGAAGTTGCAACAAAGCGACCAAGACCTTTAGAGGACATGATATCCCTTGATTCTCTGACCTCAGTCTCCCAAGTTGAGGGATCTCTTGGCCAGGTGAAGCAGGATCTTGAGGTAGGTAGAGATAAACATTGGTGTTCTTTATCACTTTGTACATTCACAAGTCTAGTTTTTCCAGCTACACACATTTACAATCACAGACATCATTTTCATTCAGACATTTATACAGGGAGCCAAAATACACACACACACACACACTATCTTGTCAGCTTTATGTCTGATTTGGTGTGACTGAAGCAACAATGATTCTGGATACACAATACAGATTTTATAAACATCACAGTAAGCAACAAATTACCTACCTAAAGATTTAAATGTTCATGTGACCATTTCTTATTTCATAATTTCAGGCATTAGAGTTTTTGATCAAACAGAAGGAAGAAGAATGGAACACCCTTCTCAGATTACAGAAACGTAAGGAAGAGTTGTACATCCGACTGGCAAGAAGACGACACGTTCTCCTGATGAAGAGTGGCCAAGGTGACGGAGAGGAAGAAGTTCAGGGCGAGGAAGGAAGTGAAGAGGGGCCGAGTAATCTTATGTTTCTACCTCAGGGAGGGTATTCCTCCTTGGGTGGCCCACAGCTACCACTTATGATGATGAGTCAACTGCTAGCAGGCTCCTCCTCACCTCAGTCTCTCCAGGTATATAATTAGAAAACCACAACTGCATGAGTCATGTCTTACTTTTAGTGTCTGTAAATGAATACTTTCTCCTCCTTCTTCTTTCATTTTTTCTGCATTATTATCTTTCCCTTACTTTAATTACTCTTTTATTCCTGAGTATTTAGTAATTTCCTTTAATATCTGTTATACATTTTCACCTTGTTGAATATAATGGATATTTAATGTAAGTGAATAGTGCAGTGGAGACCTGACACAGATGCTTCAGTGTCGGTCAAGAGTCCAAGGCTCTGAACTGTATGAGGGTTTATGCACTTGATGCCCTTATGTACTGTAATTGAAAACAAAAAATTATCATAATACAAAGAGGATGGATTCCGGTCTTTAGTAAGCATTTCATTATAACTTGAGGATACAGTTAGTACACTAGTGTTGTTTTGGTGACAAATGACATTTTCTGGTGTAGAAGGATCAGCAAGTTTTATGGTATTGTGGAATTATAAGTACAGTACTTTATATATTTTACAGATGCTACCACAAGTTTTAACCACAAAAGAAAACAGCCAAGGAGACGGTGGTGGCAGTAACAACAGCAATATCAGCGTAATAGACATTCACACAAGCAGTAACAAGCCTGGCGGTGAAACTCCAAAGGTGTCCATGACTCCAGAAGCTCATAGCAAACTGAGCAAGCAGCTAAGCTCTGGCCTGGCCTCCATGAAGCCCATACTACCTAAGCCACCAGGAGGCTTGGGTGGAATACCAGGTCTTCCTTCATCCTTGTCCTTCACAGCCACTGGTCATGGTCCCCAAGGCCCCACAGTCAACGTCCAACACTTAATAGCAGCTCATCGAAAGGAGAACCCCAACACTCCTCCCATCAGGTAATAACAGTTCATGGGGATGTAATATATTTCAAGGGAGAGAATGATTAGTTGGAATGTCTTGTGAGAGAGTGATGGATCATTACAAAATATTACCACGTCTTGAATGGAATGTTAATTGCCTTGTTGAGTAACTAGAAACTGTGTACCTGAGTTGAGAAAAGCAGTGTGTGTGTGTGGACAATTTGGTCTACCCCATGAGAGGAAACATAGCTAGTACATTCAGGAGAGAGAATAGGGAGGTGGTAAAGGGAATGGAAAAGTACGCCCCCCCCCCCCAAAAAAAAATTGGCTACTGGTAACTTAAAATTTTCAATAGGTTTATAGTACAGTATAAAGGCTTAGGGGTAAACCAGAGAGATATTTAGTGACTGTGTTATGGAAGGAGCAGAACACCATCTATATATACAAGGTCCTAGTACACTGTTATCCTCTCTTTCTCCTTCCGAAAGCAGTGACCTTTTGCTTACACATCAAATGATCCCATGTGACATTTAAAAGTCCTGCATCTTTGGGAACATAATTTGTGGTGTCTGAGGCAGCTGGGCGCTACTTTTGATTTACTCACAAATACAATACTGTACCTGTATGTGGATGTGCAGTGTTTAACATATACAGTATACAGTATACATCTGGGGAATGGTGTGTGTGTGTGTATCTCCACTCAAGTCTCACTATATACCCTACTATATTTACAAACTTAACACTAGTTTCAAGGAAGATAAACTATGAAATATCTGGAGTTGTCAGCCTCACTTTTACCCGGCTGGACTACCCTCATTGTAATTTCCAATATTTGAGTAAAAAAAGTAGCTTCCTGGGAGAATATTTCCTCTCAACATGTAGGGTGCAATACAGACTGCAGATTCCCACCTCCATTGGATTCTCAAGCACAGTTATGAAATGCCATTTACATAGTTTTTCACTTTATATTTCTTCCACCAACTTAAATCTCCTTACAACTGATGGTATATTTGAGTTACTGCCCCACATAGTATTGTACTGTATATGGGAACAACTTGACACTATTCTACTCGTGCATATGCAGTACATGAATGACAGCGTAGAGGTTAAATCAATACTACGACTCAATGAAGGAGGAGTCCATGTCTGTGTTCCCTCCTGATTCCAGCCAATTTGCATTATTGTGAGGAAAAGAATCAAACCATTAATATTTACACAATTTACTAAACCTCATCTTTCATAGGATTTTCTTTACTTGAGTAGTTTCATTCTCTAATTAATACATTTACCAAATTATTGTCTGTTTATTCATATTCTCTTCATTATTATTATTTGGATTATTAATTGTTATGAGTTATTATTATTCACTCTTCAACTTTATCTTTTATTCACCTTTCATATTTTTCATTATGTAATATTGTTCTATATCTGTTTATCACATGTGTTTAAGTCTTTTTGGTTTACTAAAAAATCATTGTAATATTATATAAAGATTAATTTCTGAGGCATCAGTACTGAAGTTCTGGGAAATACAAAACCTGGTGAATGGCTGACTCACTGAGACAACTTTGTGTTGAGGGAGTGTGTGTTAAGCAGGCACTGAGGGGGATATAATCATTGCTTATTGTTCTTTGGGAAGGCTCCTATAATTGTACCCATAAATTTTGATCTGTTCCTTATAGCCTCACTTGTTTTGATCTCATATATTCACTATAGTTCAGGAAAATGATGAATTATGTTCCATGTCCAAAAATTCTGTTAGAATTTTTTTCTTGAATGCATATTTTAATATTGTGTTGTTATTATATATATATATTTATTGAACAGTATCGCTAATTTTAAGCTTAGTTTGAAAATCCCAACCAACAGGAGAGCCACAAGAGGGGCCTGGCGACATCGCTATGACGGAGACAAGCGATCATCCCGTGACCAGGACCGTCCCCCTAGTGTGTCCAGTTCCAGCAGTGATGCAGATACACGAACCACACCCTCATCCAAGGGTTTCCTGGCCATGAGCGATCCATCCGTATCTTATAAAGATGTTCTTCTACGTTTTGCTGAACTAACTCAAATAGAGAAGCAGCCTGGATCCCCACAGGTAAGTAGATATATAATGTATTGATCTGTATAAATGTACATTACAATAGTAGTAAATGTTGTACTGTAGCTAGTACTGTAGTTAGAGTTAGTAAGTGTTGTATGGTTTTGTCCAAGTATTAGTTAAGCGCAGGTTAGAGAATTAAAACAGATGAAACATTGCCTAATATACTGTACAGTATTAAAAGAGGGTTGGGTTTCTCACCTTTGCATTGTCATACGTGAAAACTTCAAATAATGTATCTGTAACCTGTATTTCCACACCCAGTTAGTATGGTATAATGATTAAGCAAGATGGAATGATTCAATATTTGTGATGTTCAAATCTAAGTCTAATTCAGAGAATAGATGGGAAGCTCTGTTTAATGGGGAAGTACAGTATTGTCAGTGTATGTGAATGGAGAAAAAAGTTTAACAAAATTGAGGCAAAGGATTGGTTAGGAAGCAATGTAGGAGTTTACATTATTTCTTTTATTCAACATGAGGTACACGGATGCATGCATCAGATGTCTCAACTTCTCTGCGATTTATTCACCAAAACTTGGGAAGATATTTGTTTCTTAGACTGCACAGTACTAGTTCCACTCCATTGAAATGGTAGGATTTTTCTTTTGATTAACTAACCTTTAATCCACATTCAACAAAATATTTATTTTATTCCTTTAGATCTCAATTTTCCCTGTGGGTAGCAGTGATGGGGGCCCCAAGAGGTCTGATGGTAGTCGAGAGTCCACCCCCACAGTGAGGGACCACACCCCTCCTGCTGCTGCTCCTCCCACAACAAAGCCCAATCTTGAAGCACCATCAGCCCTAGCAAAGGCAAGACTTAATGACCCCACACACACACACACACACACATTCCCAGTTTATCCAGAATCCATGCAACTGGCAGATTCAACTAACTTGCACCAGAATGAAATTAATAGTAAAAAAAAAATATCCCAAATCAGCGAGACTCGTAAGTTTGAATACCGCATACAACAGGAATGAGCTGCCATATTTTTGATAAACAATAAAATTTATACATATTTTAAAATGCACTAGGACATGTGAGCATTGTTTATTGTAGTGTGGTAGACAACTAAGAGATGGAATAAAGCTCCATCTCTTAGATGTGTTTCCTTCACTACCACACTACAATAGGACGTATTTTATGGACAAAAAATACCCTCTTCAACGCTCAAACAATCCTCTGGGCACCATGACACAATTCAGACAGTCACCCAGCTGACATGTAGCTGCTGCGCTGGCTGTGTGTATACCTTGACATCACATCGAGAGGGAGCGCGGCCACACAGTTGTGACCCGCCTCCTCCACACAATCACTTCCCACATATACACACTGATGTTCTTCATTTGTTTTATTTTACAGTTTTATATTTTTCTTTATCTCTAAGTCACGATAGGTTACAGTATTGTAATGATTTTTCCACCACTTTATAGTTTTATTACATGTGGTGGCTGGGCTGGGGAGTCAGCAATGTACAGTAGTTGTAGACCATCACCTTCACACACCCATGCTCTTAATTTGTCTTATTTTATAGTTTTATATAATATTTTTCTTTATTTCTATGCCAAATTGTTTATGTAGAGTGGAATAAGTATTAAAGAAGTCCATTTTTCTGAGACACAAATTTGCGGGGTCAGCCTGTAGCACTGTGCACGGTAGGATTGAACTAACGAGAAAATCCCTTTATCCAGCACCTCTCAATCTCCATAGGTCCCGGATAACAGGGAATCTACTATATTGAAGGTGTTAGAAAAAATATATTGTCCCATTTATCATTGAGTTACCAGCATTTAACAATTACTTTATTTGTTAGATTTTACATGGAGAATTGTCAGAACAACACTGAATGTAAATGCTTATATCTGACATGGTACGATGATGAATGATCAATATACAATATTTATGTTATCTGAGCATGGATTTTAGTATGAAATAGTGTAAACATCAAATAATGTCTTAAAACAGAAATACAGTCATTGTATTTGGTGACAGAATGTTTTATTGGTTTTGAAAAGCAACTGTAGTTCTTCTTATTTAGTTACAGGAAAATAGTTAACTCTAGTAAAGAAAATCCTATGAAACATATAAATAATACTGTGCTTATTGTTTAGAAAATGTTGTTGCTTAGTAGTTATGTTATATATTTTATTTTAATGAATACAATTACAGTATAGTATCTGCATAAACTGAGATAGAATTTTTTAACTGAGCTTCATGCAAGCATCTTTAACTGTATTCTCCTAAAATAACAGCAGAGTTTTTTTTTTTTATCATCAATGCAGTTACTACTGGAGTCAAGAGCGAGTGTATCTAGTGGCAACTTAACTAAGGCTGTTGGAGAGAGCGCCTCAAACTCTCAGTACCTGACACTCTCTGCTCTTCTGTCTGGTGGCTCTACTACAACTGTCAAAGATAAGGTTGCTGCTCATGCCCAGGTGAGTCTTGTGAAGGTAACACAACCCCAGCAGACTGTGAGTGTGTGTACAAGTACAAAGTTAATAGTGAACAAAAGTAAAACAAGATAAGTTGAGAATGAGGACTTCAAGAAAGAAATATCAGCTTGAATGGTGGAAGTGAGGTGTTTCAGACATGTAAGTACAGTATAAATGTCTTGGCAGCTGGAACAATGGATGCCAAATTGGATCATAAAGCAGCAGAGAGAAAGATAGTAATTTCTACATTGAGTATTGTGAGAGAACTGTGTCCAAGTAAAGAGAGTTGTAGATGTATAGAGGAGTCATTAAGCCATCATCACCACTGGGAGAGATATCAATCATTACTGTATGAGGGAAGGGTACCAAATGTAAGGAAGGTGGAGGCACATTAGAAAGGAATTTTGAGGCAGGGTGTTTAAAAAGTAAGTGCTAGAATGACTGAAGGGCTCCTGTGTGTTGATACTATTTTTATGATGACATTCTATAAGGGTTACCTTTTTTCCTCCCTATCACAAATAGTAAACAAAGACATGGAACCTTGACTCGTGCCTTTCCACCTTGTTCATTTATTTACGCTGTAGTTTTGTTTGATATTCGGTAATAATTATCTTTGGCCAGGATGTACGTCTGGGGCTTAGTGTGAATATATCATTAAAACTCAATATTATCCAAACAGTCGGAAAGTCGGAGCAAGAAATCGAGCCACCAGCCTGAAGAGGGAAGTGGGAATCCCAAATGTCAAGGATGCCACAAACAACGAGCACAGTTTGTTTGTGCTGGTTGTGGAAATCAATGGTACTGCTCTAGGGAGTGTCAGGTAAGGGTTAATTTTCAGTTTGAAGTATAGTATAGTAATTCCTTTTCTCCATTATGAACTGTATTATATAAGAGAAGTTTTATATGTACATAGTATAGAAAATGGCTACACAATGTTAATTTCCCTGATTCCTTGTTTTCTCTGTGTGTATCATTTTCTCAAGTATTAGCTACTAACTATTTCAGTAAAAGGTTTAGAGAGGCTTGGCAAACTTGCAAAATACTGTATTCTACATTGAGAATATGCAGCACCAGTATACTGTATAGATATTATAGAATAGATAGAATCACCACCACAGGAATATTTTCAAAGGCAGTCAGAGACAACTAGTGTATTGTGTAGTGGGCAAACCTTGTTAGTTAGAATTCACTTTTTTATGAAATGTAATGTGATTTACAACTCTACCAAACCTTTAATAATACAACCAGGAGGAAGAACCACTGAAAAATTTTGGTTTAGAATAGAATTTTACTTTACTGTATTGAGTTATTTTAGCAGAGAAGTTCTGACAGACCAATCCGGTGAGTGGTATTTATGCACAGTACTATGTAAGTTGATCTGTAATGCCTTATTCCCTCTGTGAACTGTATAAGGGTAGCCAAGACAGAAGGCCCTCAGACCCACCTAGTCATGAGTTATCCCTTACATACTTTTCCTTCTGAGGATGGTGGTTACCTTGCCTTCACCATAGCCCCATCTACCTTACTCTGTACACCCACTCAGGTACTAAACATTCCATAGTAATCCTCCTCTGCTCATCCCTTCTCAGGTACTGATCCCACAAGCATCCTTATAATAGTTAATTTATTTTAATTGAAAAACTGTTCAGCTGTTTTCTGCAGTAACTCACACTGTCTAGAAAGTAATTTGATGAGATCTTAGATTGATGCTCTATTTTACATTTTGTTTATCATTCTTCTTTATTATTTTACAGGTAGCAGCATGGGAGGAACACTCAGAACACTGTAATAATTAAGTAGTGATGGGACTATGTGTACATATCCTTGACCGTACCTCCAGGTGAGTCTCCATTAAGCCTGAGTCTCGTGCTTCAGAATTGTTTATTTTTTATCTTTAAAGGCGAGCGTAAATCTAGCAGTGCTGTTTGTTAATTTGGGATTTTTTCACAGAGATATTTTAAAATACAAGATAGAAAAATGATTAGATAATATAATACAGGAGTCTCTCTTGCCCATAACATCCGAGAGTAGGTCAGTTACTTCTTTAGCTTTATGGTTTGATTTTCATTGTTCTTTTGTTTTCTGTTCATTGTCTGTCTGTATGGTACACCACTTTTAACTGGCCAGCATTTTCAGTTCTGTCCATGTCACACTTACAGCTAAAGGTCTTTTGTTTTGGGTTGGTAAAAGATGAAGCCTCGGTAAAATACAGTCAAGCGTTGTTACAGTGCCTGCAGCTGAGGCCCATCATACCTCAGTTACACCACCCAGATGTTTATCACTGATGACTTTACACTTGGATTCGTCAAGGGTCTAATCTTGTGGATTGTTGTCCAGTCACCTGACCCAAGAACCCTGAGAACCAGCTTCATGAACCCAAAGCATTTATGGATAGAATAATCTATCAGTCTATTGCTTCGGGTTCACAAGTCTGAATCTCAGGGTTCGTGGTTCAGGGGGACAGGCGAACGGACTTTAGCAGTTGATTGTACAGGGTTATTTTTTTTATTCGATAACCCTAAATTTTTACCATATTTTTAAATGTGTAATAAATAGGAACCTAAAAATCGGTGGGAATAAAGTCTGATAATACCATTTCGAAGAACATAAATATTGATCCAACTTTACTCTTGCTGTTAGGAGGTTCCTGTTTATCGTATGTCCCAAAATATTGTGATCATTTCAGGTTCTCATAGGAAAAAAAAAAAGACCCTGTTTGATATCCCAAGAGCTTCACAGGTCATTAATTTGCAATTCCTGGTTATTACGAATAATACGTGAACCCGATTGATATAATAACAGTGACCAGTAAATCTAAACATATGGGAAACTCTTACTTATTATCTTTACTCCTCGCTCTTGTGTTGTGTTACTCGTGGGGTACAACACAGGAACCTCTGGGTATGGTTGGGGACAAGTGTAGAAGGTAAAGCGAAGGCCTGAAGCAGAAACTCACTAGCCATCTTGTACTCAGGTTATTTAATGTCTAACGATGTACAGTTTTTTAGTATATTTCCATATATATTGAACACTACTAGGGAGTGTGTTTATGCTATATGTATTGAAGGGCTTCCAGTGGACACTATTTATTTATATATTAATGCATTGTTTTCTCTGCCCTTGCATATATCTTCCATCTTTGGTGACTTGTCCCTTGATTTTAATTGTTCATTAATTTGATTTGATACATTGTCCAAATACCTGAAAATATATATTTATTTTTCAATTTTAAAAGAGCTTCTTCATTATGGTAGTAATATCAAAGTATTTATTTTATTTTCCTTTTTTCTTTCAGATTAGTGCATAGGGGGGATGCAAGATCACCACAAGCAACTCAACATTTATAAAGAAAGTCTTCATAAGTGCAGAAATCATGATGGACTGTGCTGTTATTTCCTTTTCAAAATAATCAAATTTTGAAATTTAATATCTCATGCATGAAGAAAAAATTTTCTACCGTATTTTTACAGTTACAGTCAACATGACAAATATTGAACGGACCCTTGTCGGTGATAAGTGTTGGATCGTGTGTCTGTCCGCAAGACTGTAGAGAAGAATTCACTCTCGATAATGATACTGTGATATTTAAGTGCATTTTTTGTATACAAGAAGAGACTGTCGACAAAATTGTTTTTATATGAATCATACAGAGGCTGTGTCCAAAATATGTAGTGTGTGAAATCCCAGCCTCCTTTTGAACAACAGTGTACTGTAGTCTTACATGAATATTTCCTTTTGATATTTCAAACTGTAGAACCTGACTTTGTATGAACATAAGTGCTGAAATACTAATGACACTACAGTAGTAAGTTTCTGGTATGGGATAGTTATAGAATCAATTGCCAGAGTATATTTTGTACCATACTTTGTTGCTTATTGACCATCTTCTAAGCCTGGAAGGTTTTTAAGTGCAGATTTTAGGCCAATCATATTAGATAGATCAAATAAAGTTGTCTGTGAATAATATAGACATTTTATGCATTGAAATTTTGCTGTATTGAAATGTATTACAATAATATTTAGGTTCACTTTGAAACCTGAAATGTCTTCACTGTTATAAAATTTTAGTTTAAAAAATATGGACTATCCTTATGGAGTTTTGATCTTATTTGTTATATCATGGTTACTTGTTGGGTCACACAATACAGTACTACCTGGAATAGTATGTCTTTTAAATAAGTTGAGAATTGTGGCATATTTTTTAATGAGGTTAAGACCATTTGTGTCATCGTTCAGAGGGAGCGTGTTAAGGTCTTCGAAACACTTGAGTCTTTTTATTCTCATTGGTACTTTTCTTGAATTATTTTGTCTTGGATATTTTTTTATGCTTCGTTTATTTATGGTACAATATATTCCATGTAATATTTCTTTAATGTTTTAATTTGCCACCACTGTCATCTACCTGAACTTTTGGAATTACTTTATCAATTACTATATGCTTCATTTTATAAAGGATATTTACTTTGGATATAAAATAAGCTCCTGGTCTTAAGTTGACCAATTAATTTATGAATTTCAGTGCAAAGTAAATGTAGATAATATTACATCAATGGTAAATATAAGCTTCAAGATATAGTTAATTTTGTACATCACTACCACGGGGGAAGCAAAGAGTTACTCTCTCTCACTTCATCTTCCACAGTCCCACTCAGTTTATGGTGACTGCCTGTACATGTTTTTTTAATTCCTTTACAAAGTTACTATATTCTCTTTCTCAGTCTTCTCTGTTTTCATCATTTTCTTTACCTATTCCTCCTGCCATATTTTTGCTGTCACTTTTGAGTGTCTTTGCTCAGCCAATACAATTTTACCTTGAATGTACTAATTTAAATCAGGTGAGAAGTTGCCAATTGCTTTACAAATGTAACGGCCAAACAAACATCCAGACTTCCTCTGCCTGTGTTTTGTTTCACCCCCATTTAATTGGGAATGAAATAAAGTCAATAGATTTAGACAGATAGAATAAGTTGAATCTTGCTGTTGCGTCATCAAGATGATCACAAACTGAATTGTTGATAGAGTTGTACACATATGTATCGAGTCTTTCTTTAACATACTGTGCACCGATTACACTTAATATGGACTGAAGTCATTCATCCCAAGGACCAGAAAACTATATGGCCATAACTTTTGGAGATTGAAAATTGAAGAGGTTGAGTCTTTGAATTTATAAATTAACAATGAGATATAGGTCATATTGTCACTGTCCCTTAAAATATTTACTAACATTCAGTTCTCAACACTAATTCAGTGGATCATATTTTTAGTTACCAACTTGAAGTAGAACAGCAAAAACAATGTTATGTGAGGGGAAGTAATGAGAGACCATATTTTTTTACATTTAGTGGTCCCATTAAAGGGCGGCCCCTCTGAATTTTTAAGTATGATAATTGTATCTTTTTAATATTTAACAGAAAAAGTTGTTCAAAATGGTCCTCAAGCATTAGTAGAATCCTGTGGTATGTATTCCTAATCTTGACTAAATTTTACGTTCTGGTCTAAACTGTAATTCATGACAAATAGGGCCCATTTATGTTGGATGTGCTGATGTGAGGCGATCCTGGGTTGTGTGAAGCGACAGGGATAAACCGGATGTGTATCGGGCGAACACCATAGCAAAACACATTTGGTAAGGCACTTATAGAGAACGAATGACAGTGAATGAAAGGAGAGTCTGTGTTTGGTATTAATTCTGGCTGTTTTGTAAGAGTAACAAGGGCCTTGTAAGAGTGGGAAAAAAAATTTACACAAATTAAAAGTTTATCATCTTAAAGTTGATTAGTAGATAGATAAGCTTTGAAAAGTGCTGTATATCCAAAGATTTTCTTGGATGGGTTAATAATAGTTTGTTTTGCTGCTGAAGTAAGTCCCAGTCCAGAAATATATCTGGATGATTGATGGTAAAGTACTGCACAAGCAAAGCCATTATTTCTCTTTAATTGAATGTGTGTGTGGGTATTTTTCCTTGTTTTAGCCCTTCCCCTTTACTCTCTACTGTAGTTTTGAACCAATTTTTCATATTTCTTCCCCATCCCTTTATTTGAAGCTTGATGCCCTTCATCCATCCCACACAACAGTGGGAAAGAAGTGCTAAGTAGATATATATTTCATTTAAATACTCTAAGCCAAATTTCCTATTTTAAATTTAATACCACTGAAACATCTTTCTGCAATCAATTTACCTAGTAGTACTTTTCTGTATATGGTTCACAAAGCTTCATATACTGGTCATGATTTTGCTGTCTTTTGAGAGGAAAAGATGTTAACCCACTAACCACACCATACCTGTAGTCTGTGGTCCTACCAGCTTGAGGGAGATTAACTGCATAAAGATTAACCACACATTTAAAATGAATAGAACGAGCATGATGAAGTGTACTCTGGTGCTATAGTTGAACCTCCACTTTTGTTGCCGTATTTTTGCTTAAATTGATAGGAAATTTTGTGTTTTATTTGGTGAACTATGAAGATCATTCTGTATTTGTTATGGCCTTCTTGTTTGGATTTTGTTTTCCAAATTATATTTTCTGGAGAAGGTTGTGAGTGAGCCAGTGTTGCTTGGTGAGGTACAGTAATGCCTAATGTTGGTTGTGGACTTTGTACTTGAGGAATACAAATTAACAAAAACTTTACAGATAACTCTTGGGAGAAAGTTATGTTCAGTCTTGTTGTTTAGTTTGTAGAGGAGCTCTTTTGGTGTTTTTTTAATACCAATTAGTAAGTCTTCCTTAATACATTTTGCAGGGATATTTTATATGACACTTTTTTTATACTGTATTATATATTTAGTATAATTACAATCCAACACAAAGCCAACTTAGTTTTGTTATGAACAGTATTTCAGTAATCCTATTTTTCAGTTAGTACAATAGTTTGCTAACATCGGCAAGAACCATTTAGTAAAGTGCCTTTTATCTTGAAAATTAATTATCTGTTCCTTATCATGGCAATATTTTTCTAGTCATATTTTGTCAAAAAGAAATATGTTTCTGCTTCATATTTTTAGTAATTTGTGGAGTAGTGTAAAGTTAGTAGAGGTGGTGACCATTTTCCCCAATTTGTGTAAGATTAGCTCAGCTGGTGACTAGCCCCCATAGTAGCATGCAAGACTAAACTTTCGTCCACTTTTTACTGACATCAACATGAAAGACTTTGATTTTGACTTAAATGTGAAAGAATGAGATTTGACCTTGACCATAATGGACTTGATGGCTCGAGCAGAATTTATGTTGAGTTCGGTTGATATTCATTGTTTGAGAAGGTACAGTAATGGAGTTTCAAGATTACAAATATTTTACAATGCATCACTCTCCTATGTATTGTATTACTGGTTCATTATGGCATCACTATTAATAAAAATGCTGTATTTCATCACATTGTCTCCATATATAAAGAAAAAATCCATGTGTAGCTTCTGTTTCTAAAATCACTTTACAGGTTTATTTCACTGGGTTAAGGGGTGAGCTAGAGGTAGGCTCAGAGTGACATGGATTGTAAGAAATGACCTCAGGGACAAGAACCTATTGAGAGGGTGGCAAGCAGGGAGAACTACCAACCCACACAAGTGTGGAAATGGCCTTAAAACGTTGGTTGTGATGACATTTCATAAAAGGAAATTTAAGAAAATTTGCTGTCATGTATCAAAAATATTGATTGTGAACATTTATGATTATAGTTTTGAAAATTATATATTACAACAATAATTAATTATTATTTTGCACGAGTACTTGATCAGTTGTATAATTTGTACGGGCTTTTATTATTTTACAAAATGACGTCACAGAATACATGTACAGTATTTTATTTTCTGGAATTACAAAGGCTGGGACTTTGACTTGACTAACCAGCCAACCTTGGGCTTGGATTGCCTTGTGTCTGACTTGGACATGGATGTGGTCAATAACTACAACTCTGACGATTACTTACATATAGTTAAGGTAGTGACTTACCCCACTATTGGTGTTTAGTGGAGGTGATGACTATATTCCTCCTTAGTTTAGAAGTGATACAGATGGTGGCCACATTCCTCTACTTCCTTTGTAACTAGTTTCCTCACGCAATCATATTTATCCCTAATTTATTAAAGGCTGCTTCAGTACCAGTCACTTCATTTGTAATTACAACTTGACTTTCTTCCATCCTTTTGGCTTATTTTTTATTTACCGGTAAATTTTCTTGAATAAAAAAGCATCTCCCTTTCTTTTAGCTTCAATCACTTGGCATAGTCACTCAGATTTTCAAGGTACTGTACTCACAAAAACACAACAATGAAATGTCCTTGCTTAGTGGATACAGTTTCTAATAATATTGGTATAGTTGTGCACGTTGATGGGTTAAGCGTCATAATCATTTACTAAAGATTTCTTGACATAGTAAATCCTGCAGTAATTATATTTTTATGTACTTAATGCTATTATATGACCATTTTAATATGAGATAACGTGTAATACTTAAATCAACTTTCATACAGCATTATACTGTACTTTCTTTTTTATTTGTCTTGCAGTGACAGAATTTAAGTTAATGGAACCACATAGCTGAATGATTTCCACCTCTTTCTTTATACTGTCATTGCATAGTTTTACCAATTCTTAATAAATTTCACATTATAAGTATTGCTCATGAGACTAGAGAATAAATGAGTTGTCCCAAGAACTCGGCAAATATCATAGTGTACTTGGTTTTACAGCAGAAGATTACAGGAGGCAAAGAAAAAATGGCAGAGTAATTTGCATATCCTTAAAGAAGGGGATAGAATAATGGGAACTTGGGAGTGGTTTTAATTTGCTCGTCTATCTACTGATTGTGTGGCGTCGTGTGCTTTTCAGGCATGTCACTCGTTTCCTTTGATGTACATAACGTAACCTTTCCCAAATTATAGTTAAAAATACATGCAGCCTTTTGCCTTTTCATACATTTGTTGTAAGTATAGTTGAAGATTTGGAATTCCACCCTTTATGACCTGAGGGTTTATCTGTAAACTGCCATGTTTGATCTAACTATTTTGGCAAGTTCTTGTGCTACAGGTGCAAATGATGAGTACGTTTACGAGTGTATGATTGAATATGAGCAAGTTGGTTAGGGCTTCAAGGTATATTTAAGTTGTAAATAGTTTTTTATGGTTTCAGTAGAGAGAGAACTTCTCATTGACTGATGGTTTGAAAGGTAAGTGTGGAGACCTCCAATAACCTCAATTCAACACAATCAGTCAGTCATGCAGATAATACTAAACTCAGAGGAACAATGTCTTAAGTGTTTTTTCCAGTTTAAGGAACAATGTATAGGTTGGGAGAAAGTTAACTAAGGCTCCTTCTTACAGGGCTGAATATAGTTACCATGGTTACAGTTAACCTTGTAAGTTAAGAGGTTTAGCTCACTTTGGGACTACCTATTGAACTGTGTTGGCTTAAGCCATGAGATGTATATTTCACGATATGTAATGTAACACAATATTTTTCTTTGAAGAGATTCATCGAGTTTTGTTTTTCTTTATCGTGTCGGGAGAACGATCCCCGGTAAATCTCCGGTAAGAACAATTTTGTCAGTTGCGTTTCAAAATGGAGGATGTTGTCCAGTTTTTCATCAGTCTCACGTAACACTGTCATGGTTGTGTTTCTCCTTAATGCATGTTCTGTATACACTCTTCTTATGAACTACCAAAGCTTAAACTACCAATGAAGCTTATTTGTACCTGGTTCAATAATTAATTTAGAATGAAAAAATAAAATACAAAATTTGAATCATGCAGGTGATGGCTATACTGGACAGCATTTTTATTTTTAATGACCAGGGAAGGGACGTATGATAGCTTTTGTTTATTAAAGAGTACTAGGGTAATGTGAGTACAAAAATGCTTTTATTGCCCAAGACTTTCAAAATTTAATGTAAAAATAAACTTGATTATCAATATTCTGCTTAACCCCTTTAATGTAATGAATAATCCTGCAGGTTTGTCATAATAGCCATTTTTTCATGCACTTCAGGTGTTAGGAGCATATGACAACATTGCTGCTGCTGTTATTTTGGAAAAGAAAAAATTTCAATATTTAGAATGCTCTCCAATTTTAAACACCTCTGCTATCATGTGTTGAAGAATACTGTTCACTCTGTCTTTTCCTGAGCTAGCAACACTAGTGGGGATGAAAATTTGGCACCATGAAGAAGTGTTTGAGGCTTAAATAGGAATAGAGTACAAGGGGTTAAACTAAATGATGGATGATGAAGGCATTGGTGTGCTCCCTGTGTTGTGGTGCTGCTCCTCACAGTTCTTACTGATTCATCTTTTGATTTCTTGCTTCACTTAAGAGGCTGTGCCACTGTAAATTGCATTGATTCCGCTTTCTTCAATATATCTTCTGCCATTGCATTGGTATTTAGTGATTGAAATTTTAGTTCTTGATAGCCGGTCATTTAATAGAATGCAGATATAGCATGTGCAGCTTTTTAATGTAGTTTCCAGGGAACTAAATGCCACACAATTTGAAGCTTGCTATAAAGATTAATTATTATAGTTTGATGTAATCAACAATGCAAATGATGTTTTTTCTTTTTGCATGTTTTGCTGTAATCAGAGCTTTATTGAAAAGAGTGAATCATGCGCACTTGTTAGTAGTTCTGAACTATCCACTTTCTTCCTTGGTCATATCCATTGTGATAGGTTTAGAACGGGAACCGAGTACCTGGAGATTTATCTAAGGTTTGTATAAAAAATTCTTACCCAAAAATTACTCAAAAAAATTAACAGCGAGGCGCAGACTCCGATCTGGCCCGAATAACCAGCAGTCACTGCCAAGATGTAGAAAATTCGGCCTGTCGTCTCCAACAGTGGGAACTGGGCTTGAAGTCTGAGATAAGTACTGCAGAGTTAAAACTAAAGTTACGGAGTAAGAATTTAATGTATTATATGTTTTGTCTGTGCATAAGCCACCAATGTTATATGTTTAATGAATAATTTTGTCTGTCACGCTGTTATTAGCTGTTTATGTGCAAATGATATATACTGTTCAAGAGATGTTTGGTAGGATAGTGACAGTCATTTTGATACATCAAATTGAATTCCTGTTAATTTTCTTGAACAGCATCTGCATTCTCCAGATCCTCCACTAGCTCACAGAACATGTTGATGTCACTACAAATCTTGATTCGACTATTGACATACCAGATTAATGATTAATATAAGCATAAAGTATCCCTCTGCCTCTTGTGAACCACAAGCATCTGTCTTTACCAATATTGCAAGTTCCATTCCATGAGTTTTATTTTAATTAGACTGCGGAATTCCACACTAGCCCTCTTAATGGCTATCCCCCCTGCTTCAAAGAGTGTGCGTGCCAGGTTGAATTTTTTTTGTATTAGTTTGCTGTTTATATTGAATCGAATCATTTTTTAATAAACATGGTGAAATCCTTCTTTGTTTTTTTTTCAGCCTTTTGTACTGTACATTATACTTCAGAAAGTTCCCAACATCTACTTGGAGAGAAACTCTAATCATGTCCACCATTGATAAGAAAAAACTCCTATTCTTGATGGGTAACCCTCAGTATGCAGGCCAGAGTCAGTCCTCAGTGTGTTCTCAGCAACTAGCCAAGTGACACTTAAAAGTTTAGCAAAATCATTAATTAAAAATACCTAACAGAAATGGCTGGCAAGAAAGAATAATAAACAATTTGCATCATTCTTCTATAATAGTGTTGCCAAGAACCTAAAATAACTCCCAAGTAAGTCTAGATATACTGTATTTATTACTACAGTAACACCAACTATATTACAGTACTGAACACTTAGAAACTGAATTTTAGTAGTTTCCACCCAGTTTGTCTTGCACACGACTATTCTCGTAGTAAGTGTTCACAGTATGATGACTGTGTCCATTGTGGATGTGATCTGTGTTGTGGCAACATGTGGTGCATCGAAATAGGAAGTACAGAAGCTTAGGGTTGGCAGATATTTCAAAATACTATACAGGTATCCTTTGACAAACGAACGGTTGAGATACAAAAATTTGCTTACTATACGAATTTCCTAAATTGACATCACTATTTCAAGATACAAAAGCTTCCCCCATTTATATGAATTTGTGTCCGGACAAAAATTCAAATTTTGCACGGCAGGAGTCAGCTGGCGTGGCCATCTTGGGGAGAAATGCACAGACGTTTAGTATTCTTGCTCACTGATCATAACTCCCCTCCCTCAAGCCTGCATCTTTCCTTCTGCCAGTGTCCTGTGTGTGGTAAGTGATCTCTCTTTAACCGTGTGTATTCGTGCCAGCCTTTCATTGTGGCATTCAAGTGTTCTGCTGATTCTTCGGCTACCTGTACTACACCGAAGAAACCACAAAAGGCTGAGACAATTGAGATAAAGCTGGAAGTGAATAAGTATCAGGAACATTGATGGCTCTAACAAGATTGGGAAAGATCTTGGTCTGGCTTGTTCTACTGTGGTCTTCTTGGCAGACAGCAGTGATGAGGTGGACAACCCTTACTCAGCCCACCCCTGTCAAGACTGTACCCCCATAAGATAATGTACCAAAGTTAAACAATAATTTGTTTTATGTGTTGGGTAGTAATTTTGTGTTCAGTAGTTGTATACTATTTATTATTAGTTAGGTAGTTTTTGTTCTTGTTTATGAACCAATTTCGTGTTTTTTTGGGGTATGATAATTATTGGGGCTCCGTATTTTTGTCAATGGGGAACCAAACCTTATTTTCCCATATGTTCTTTTATTTGAGATACTGTACGAAAATTCACCTAATGAATGTTTTATTTTCAACTCAAGCCATTTGTATATCAAGGGATATTCATAAAGGGCAAACACAAGAAAAACTCTTGGGGTGGAAATTATTTTACTCATATCTTGACAATTAATTACAGTACCCACGGTGCCATATGACCTTGGCTGTTATGGCCCTAAGATTGTACTGTGTTCATAATAATAATTACAGTACCTGGTATAATATTTATCATCTTAAATTAAAAAAGTAAATATTAAAATTAAGTTAAATTTACGCTACAGTGAAGGTAAAAGGAATTGACCCCCATCCCTCACCCCTGGCTTAGTCACCAGTGCAGGTGTTACTCTGTACTGTACTGGCTGACCGAAACAACTGTGACCTCTACATTCAACAGAATTTCAGTGTTAGTTATATTTAAATTACGTTATTTTATCTTTGTAAAAAAAATTCAAGGTGTTTGATCCATTTAGTGATAGGGATTGCTCTAATAAATCGTTTGGCATTAGCCAGATTGAAATACTTAAATGTGACATTATTCCTTCAACGATTACCAATAATTTCATCAAAATAAGTTACATAACCATTGTATTAAGTTAACACATTTCGGTATGTCTCCTTTGACAAATTTTAATAGGCTGTAGGTCATATGACACCAACCCAAAATCTGCTGCAAGATTTTTACCATAAACTAAAAAAAAAAAAAGTTGGAATAATCAGAACTGTCTGAGATCAAGTATAATTTTCCTAACCTGAGCTATTGTCATCAAAATCACTTGGTCATAATGGCAAAGCTAGGCATTAGTTGAACATACTTGCTCTTATATATATGATTTACTGTATATTCAGAAATCCTTTAAAAGAACGAATGAATTGGCGCCCTCATTATACAAACTCAAACAAGATACCTAGAAAGTTTCCCTGGATTCAGTACGGTAACAGTTCAAAGATATATACTATTCACTAAATCTTGGCGGTAAAGAGGTCACTATGTGTCAATTAAACAGTATTAGTGCTTGGATATTCTATAGCAGCAAAAACATATGAAGTAGCAAGTGATAAGTACCAAACAAGTCACCAGTCAGTGTCGTCTTGGCTGTGAGTGAGGGAGGAGGCGTTAACCCTGTCATTCATTGTATACCAGAAAATATTTAGTAGTGAGTTGATACGTTATATTCCTTGGTGTTCATAATAACTCTGTATACAACTGTCCAGTGGAAGAAAAATACTGATAAAGAAATACATTGAAATTACTAATACTGGTACTGGTGGAATACACGGTTAGTAGTAGATATAACTTATGGAATTGAACCAAACGTTATTGAGATGTTATTTGAATGACATATTAGGTAGAAAACTTACTTTCATATCTGGTAATCAACGAGGAGCCGAGTTTCTCTCTCTATTGTATTAGGGTTTACAAGAGAGAACCATATTTCTAGAAGAAACCGTGACTGTGGACTCTACTTAACACGACATATAATTATAATTTATTTCATTTTTTAAACTAATTCACGATCACCTAAGGCAGTTGTCAATTGATGAAGTGACTTAAGAAAAGTTACCCAACTGGCTCATTTGCATACGAATTAAATTATCGTTAGTAGAATTGATGAAAGCTATAGAGAACAAAATATTGATGTAGGAGGCAGTATTAATATTTGTTACTCCGGAGTGTTGTGGATCATACAGAGAAGAAGGGGGTATTTTTGTCTTTATATTCATGTACAGTATTGCATAGTCAAGAAAATAATTGTTACTGGCAAATAGTTTAAGGGATATTAATGGATTATGAAGAGAATAAAGCAAAATGTATAGATGCCGGTATTGTTTATTATCTAGATTATCATAAAAAAAAATTAAATATATCAAATAGTACTTCCAGGTACCATAAATAGGTATTATTTGGAGACCATGAGACTGTTCTATATTTTAGGCGCTTCAACTGCCAGGGTTTGTTAAGCACCTCACACTAATAACACTAGACAATAACTTTAAAAAACTGAGGAAGATCTACCGTGGGGAATATAATAGTGTACTATAGACTTAAACTGGAGGGACGCATACCTCCAGTTATTTGTTTGATAAAAATCGTATACTAAAAAAAAATGAGGCTAGAACCCATACTATTCAGGTTCTGTTAGTTAGGAGGTCCAAATTAATAATAAAGGAACAAGAACGCACTAAATTACTTGTAGTACCAGGTTGTGTATCAAAATGCAGATGGTGTGCAGCTGAGCGGAGAGTACCAACACGCACCAGTACACGATGAATCTCTCTCCCGGGGGTATTAACCTGTGGCTGATGTGGTTTGCTAAGTCCTCTCCCATGGCCATGAACATCTGCCCTGGGAGCATCCAGTAGGGCGAGGGTTCGACCTCAGTCATGACCAAGAGCTCCCGTGTTGCCATTCTGTTCTTCCGGCTGTGCGTGGTCACCATCAGTGCTCTCACATCACCATATTGCTGTGGGTAGTCACACACACATGACAGCCATACACTTTATTTCACATTTTTAAAGAAGATAGATTTAAAAAAAAAAAAAATGCATTAACTAATCGTAATAATGTGACGGCTGTGGGGATCATTCGCCGCCTGTTCTGAAGCCTAGTCCAGACCAAGATATTGTACAAAGTTTCGAAACTGTTGCCCAACATTGCATCTGTACTGTTGTGAGACATTATACAGTACAAAGTTCCTGTGTGTGGACGTGTTTCACATATGTGGCAACAAGAGGTGGATCACTGGTAAGTCAACTACAAACTTGTGACCCGTGCGTTGATTTGCTGGCAAGACTTATTAAACACACGAATACAGAAAATGGAGGGGCCTTGCTTTCCGCCTCCATTCCCCGAACACACACACACACACTGATAGCTGCTATTCCAGCCAATAATGTTTTCATATGTTCTTAAGAATTACCTGTATTTTTTTTAATTGGTTAGCTGTGTTGAGGGAATCATCTATTTGACTCGTGTTATTTAAATTCAGTTAATGAATTGTTTAAATATTCATAAAAGTGGTTTCTAGTATTAGGCATTGGCGTTATATTATTAAAAAAAATAAAGTTGTCAGGTAAGCGACAGAATATGGCTGGAAGTGGTTCAGATCATCAAACTTTTGTTTCTTCATTTCTATTTGGAGTCAACTGTGTTTGTGAGAGACTTTACAACTTGCTATATCAATACGTCCCATATTTATTGACAAAATAATGTGTTTTCTTTTCAGATCTAAGTACCATAGTCGCTTGGCCCAGAGAAGAACCACTTGAAGCTTGGTGCGTCGTCACGTGTTGTCCTCGCTCGGACGTCTTATAATAAGGTCAGTAATTTTTTTTCTTTCTTTCACCAATTGTTCGTGATGATTTAATATAATTGACCGATTTCAACATTTTATGTGTTTATTTTATTGTTAATATTATAGTCATCATAGGTTGGAACGAGAATCCCATTTATTAACGAGTTTGAAGCTTGTGAAATGATATTAAAACTGTTCGTAGATGAAGTATGTAGCAAAATGGTGAGTAGTGAAGTAGGTGTTGTGTTACCGCTGGGTATAACACTGTTAGTATTAGGTTAAGGTTCTACGAAAAAGAGTGAAAGGTTAAAATAATTGATGTCATTTATTTAAGAGCGGATGTACACCAGACTGAACCTTGTACCTAGTGTATAAGGTACCCTGTTATCTGTACTAGGGTGTTGTGGGGTTGGATTAGTATAAGGTACCTTGTTATAATATAAGGTGCCTTTATTGTTTAGAAGTTACGGACTTAATAGAGATCAGTGGAAATAAGGACCACCAATTTTAATGTTTTTTTTATTTTTTGTTAATTTTTGTTTCTCTGTTACTTAAATGACACGAACAATGATATTTACTGCACTGGAATGGTGTTAGTGGTGGGTAAGGTGGTATAACAGGAAAGACTATAATAATTATACTCTGCTTCGTGAGTGGTGGTGGGGGGTGAGCTGTGTGGTGGTGGGTTGAACGAAATGGTCTTGGTACTGGCGAGGATATTTGTGGTGTAGGGGTGGTAAGGGCTGCTAGGGTCTTCGATTTTAAGCCTTTGGTGGGAGGGTTTTGTGGAACGGGCGGAACGTGGACGGTGAGATGAGCCAAGTGATGCTATGAGTGGAGGAGAGTCGCTGCCATGAACACTGAAAGATCTTGCCTGAGCAACCCAAATGCGGAACAAAGTTGACGTCATATGGTGGGTGTCTGAGGGAGTGTATGAGTCAGGGGGTGGAGGTAGGGGGGATACGAGTGAGGCGAGTGGTTGAATAATGTGGAGGGAAGAATAACGACACCGGATGAACGCTTACAGAACGGTGGGGGGTACAGGGTGAAAGTGACGAACTTGGCCAGGGTAATATTTTTCTTACCTCTTAAGTTTGGGCTGGGCGCGGCGGGTGATGTGCACGTCCAGGGAGTGTGGTGCTTGAGTGTGTAGTGCGTGTACACTGTGTGTGTGGGGAAAGGTGTTTGTGTGCACAGCACACATCCAAGGGTCCGAGACCTCACTGCCAAGGCCGTGGTGATCAGCACCAGGGAAGCGCCTGCCAGCCACTGCACACTAACGCCCACAAGCACTTACCTATTTTCAGATTTACTGTAGTATGGAGGAGATGAGATATGAGTGTTCTTTCATTATAATTACGGCTAGGCTATAGATGGTACTCACTCACTCACTCAGCTAAAGCGAGAGATGGTTTAAGGTGGCTGTGTGGTGGCGCTGGGAGAGGGTGGTCAGAGTGTCTTGACTCGGAGGAATCTTAGGTACATAACGCTACAGTATTTGCTCCTTCGATATTCCTCATTGTTTCTTATTAATCGTCTTCTTTCGTTTCGTTGCCTGATACACAGCTCTGGCAGTGTTCCAGGCGACAGAGAATCTTGCTCATTTTAACTTGAAAACTACGTCTGTACCATCAAGTTAATATTGTGAACACGAAATAAAGTTCTCATAATGGAGGTATAAATATTAGATACTCAAGGTGTTTCACTCTACCGAATTGGCCAACTCTACTGAGACCTTCTTGCCATGATTGTAGCTACATTATTATACAGTGTCGTAGATTTATGTGTTTGTGGAGAGTTAAACCGTTGTCATGAAGAAACTCTGTGTGCGTTGTCAACCCCGCGAGATAAAACACTGTCTTTAATCTGTACCTGCAAACAACACCATCCCCCGAGGTTACAGTATCTTAAGACGCAATTGGGTAGTACAGTAATGGCTATTTTTGAACCCGAGTGAATAGCTTTCGGGAGTGAGCCAGTTGTATTGTTCTGCGGTATTTTCGATTTAACCCTTGGAATCCTAGTGGGTTAAATTATCGTCCTCAAAGGGTTAAATTATCGTCTTCAAAGGGTTAAATTATAGTCTTCAAAGGGTTAAATTATCGTCTTCAAAGGGTTAAATTATAGTCTTCAAAAGGGTTAAATCATCGTCCTCCAAGACTTAACTCATCGTCTTCAAAAGGGGTTAAATCATCGTCCTCCAAGAGTTAATTCATCGTTCTCAAAGGGTTAAATCATCGTCTTCAAAGGGTTAATATTATCGGCTCTTCTGCAACGACTATAGCCGAACCTACAGTTAACCAAGTCATCGATGCTTAAAGTCGGTAATAAAGTTTAATATCTAGTGAATCTAGATTTCGTGTTTCCACTTTTATAATGGGAAGCCGCGTGTATGTCTGGTAGGAAGGTTATATGAATCCCCAATTTCTTTGCGAAAGTTGATTAATTTCACTCAAGGATCAGCGTGGCGGTGGAGAAATAACTGATTAGATGCCATTGATGCTCCCTCCACCCAGATTACCTTCTCAACTCTGCCTGTCACGCCATTTATTGTGAGGGAATATTTCACAGCGGCTATAGTGTGTTATTTAACGATGAACATATGGAGAACAAGAAAAATATCATACCTTTATTAATTCCTTTTGTTCTCTTCCTTGTTATGTTCATTGTTATAACAGGTAAAGGTTATATATATATTAACAGGTACTGAATATATGAGGATTATTAATATTATAACAATTAGTTCAAGATAAACTACCACTTAACTACTGCTTGTATACTGCCTTTCTGATCCCTCTGATGGAAACTTCAGTGTTAGCGGGATATATGTAATGATTAAATAGGTTATAGTTAAGATATACAAGTTGGGGGTTGGGGGCAGAGTATGTTTGTTTAACGCTAGGCCTCAGACACGTGATGAGACCAGTGATAAGAAGTCAACAAAGATGACTCAAGTGGCGTGTACCTGACAGCCTCCCACTCACATGATCTGGCCAAGGCTAGTCGTCTGTCTCTCAGTCCCAGGTGTTATGGTCGTGTCCCAGGTGTGTTATGGTCGTGCCCCAGGTGTGTTATGGTCGTGTCCCAGGTGTGTTATGGTAGTGTCCCAGGTGTGTTATGGTCGTGTCCCAGGTGTGTTATGGTCGTGTCCCAGGTGTTATGGTCGTGTCCCAGGTGTGTTATGGTCGTGTCCCAGGTGTTATGGTCGTTTCCCAGGTGTGTTATGGTCGTCCCAGGTGTTATGGTCGTGTCCCAGGTGTTATGGTCGTGTCCCAGGTGTGTTATGGTCGTGTCCCAGGTGTGTTATGGTCGTGTCCCAGGTGTGTTATGGTCGTGTCCCAGTGTTATGGTCGCCAGGTGTTATGGTCGTGTCCCAGGTGTGTTATGGTCGTGTCCCAGGTGTGTTATGGCTGTCCCAGGTGTAATGGTCGTGTCCCAGGTGTGTTATGGTCGTGTCCCAGGTGTGTTATGGTCGTGTCCCAGGTGTGTTATGGTCGTGTCCCAGGTGTGTTATGGTCGTGTCCCAGGTGTTATGGTCGTGTCCCAGGTGTTATGTGGTCGTGTCCCAGGTGTGTTATGGTCGTGTCCCAGGTGTGTTATGGTCGTGTCCCAGGTGTGTTATGGTCGTGTCCCAGGTGTGTTATGGTCGTGTCCCAGGTGTGTTATGGTCGTGTCCCAGGTGTGTTATGGTCGTGTCCCAGGTGTGTTATGGTCGCCCAGGGTGTTATGGTCGTGTCCCAGGTGTGTTATGGTCGTGTCCCAGGTGTGTTATGGTCGTGCCGTGTGTTATGGTCGTGTCCCAGGTGTGTTATGGTCGTGTCCCGTGTGTGTTATGGGTCGTGTCCCAGGTGTGTGGTGGTCGTGTCCCAGGTGTGTTATGGTCGTGTCCCAGGTGTGTTATGGTCGTGTCCCAGGTGTGTTATGGTCGTGTCCCAGGTGTGTTATGGTCGTGTCCCGTGTGTTATGGTCGTGTCCCAGGTGTGTTATGGTCGTGTCCCAGGTGTGTTATGGTCGTGTCCCAGGTGTGTTATGGTCGTGTCCCAGGTGTGTTATGGTCGTGTCCTATGGTGTGTGTTATGGTCGTGTCCCAGGTGTGTTATGGTCGTGTCCCAGGTGTGTTATGGTCGTGTCCCAGGTGTTATGGTCGTGTCCCAGGTGTTATGGTCGTGTCCCAGGTGTGTTATGTGCTGTGTCCCAGGTGTTATGGTCGTGTCCCAGGTGTTATGGTCGTGTCCCAGGTGTGTTATGGTCGTGTCCCAGGTGTGTTATGGTCGTGTCCCAGGTGTTATGGTCGTGTCCCAGGTGTTAATGCACTGTAGGTATATTAGTTTTAACATAGGAACGCCGCCAAGGTTCCCCTCCTAGGCCAATGTTTTCATTTACTGTACTACACCTCACTTAACTCGTCCCTATGTTACCTTTGTGATCGTTAAGGTGATTAGCAGTTAATGATGACCTCCCCACGCCGGTACCTCTCCCCCACCACCCTCTACCCCCCCCTCTTCTCGTCCTTCCACCCCTACCCTCTCCCCTACACCCAATCCTCTCTATTTTTAAGATAAACTTTATGATGGTAGTTAATTCTTATTATTTGTTTAATTATTATAAATTTCTCAATTGCAATATGCTTCGGGAGATTAATTTGGAGTCAAGAACGAACTAAATCATTTCCATTAGTGTACCCTTGAAAGAGCCAGCCTATACGTTTTCTGTGATAATCTGAAATTCATGTCTAGTAAATGGGAATTATTTTATTTCTCTCTTATGTGACCCTTGCTATAGGTATCAGGGAACCAAGTGGCTGTTTTATAGACTATAATACTAAAATAACCCATATATTTGATGAAAACGGAAGTAAGTTCAATGTAAGATATGATAGTTTATGCGTAATGACTCCAGGACCTACACCACAAAAAACGGGAAACTTTAAGGGGGTTCTGGTGCAGGCAACGGGTATAATTATATGGTCTGTGTGATTAGGTTGTACTTAAATAAATATACCGGTTTCATAGCTCCTCTGGATGCCGGGAATAAGGGAAATTATATCTATATGAGAAGTATACATCAGTGTGTAGTAATTATAGTGTTAAAAGTTTGGTGGGTAGTGTTGGGTATTAAAATGTGGCACTGTAGTACCGTAGACTTTATTGACATTTTTAATCCCGTAGAATTGATTGACATTTTGTAGTAACGTAGAATTTACTGACATTTTGTAGTACCGCCGTAAAATTTATTAACATATTGTAGTACCGTAGAATTGATTGACATTTTGTAGTACCATAGAATTTATTGACACTGTAATACCGTAGATATTTCCTTGTCGATATATTTTGTCTAATTAATTGATATATAAGCAACATAGAGAATTACTTAGGTTCTTAATTAACAGATTACAACAGCGCAGGTGTAAGACGTCAGGTGAGTGCGCGTCAGAGAGATGGGCTGGTTGGGCTTTCCTAGTCGTGCAGAAGTGTGTGTGTGTGTGTGTGTGTGATAGGGTGTGTTGGTTGTGGTTGATTGATAGAGATTGTTTGGTGTTTGAAGGAAGTAATGGCTCAGTTTATCATCATGTTGTATCCTTGGGAAAATTTGGGTCATGTGCAACCAGGTGGGGTGTAGTGAATCAGAAACAAACTACCATGAGGACAGGAAAGCGAGTGTTATAGCTCCTACCCTACACACTCATACACCACACCCACACCACATTTTATTACATGCTGTGAAAAAAATAGTCGAAACTTAATTAGACTGTCAGTCTCGTTCTATACCAGCTATCACTAATGTAATATAAAGTTCTCGTGAAAAGAAAGGGGACATTTTATTGGGTGAATTGTGTGTGTGTGTGTAATAATAATAATAATGCTAATTAACGGTTTATTGAAAGAGCATGGCTGTCGGAAGGTTTAAAATATACAGTTACATAATTGGGGAATGGGTCTCTTGATTTACAAATAATATACAAGTAACATAAGAGATACAAATATGATATATAATAACTAGGTGGGGAAAAGGTCAAACTACAGGGCATTTCAACATAGTGACAGTGCAAAAAGTAAGATTGACTGGGAGTGAATACACTGGTTGATTACACGTTATTGATTATTTTTACAATGGGTGGGACTGGGCTGTTCTTATAGAGATAGGTTCGTGCTCATATGGGCTGGATGCGGT